TCAAAGATGATAAAGATTCATCATTAAGTACAGGAGCAGCTAGGGATGGGTCTATCCTTATCTTAGTTTTCTCTGTGTGTGTGTGTGGGGAGTCTTAGATGGGTCACATCACCTCTGGGTGCCTTTTTCCTTTTACATAATACCCCCCAGATGCACCAATGACAGAATCCCTATTTTGTTTTGTTTTTTTAGTAGCTTGGTGTAGTGGCAAATCAGAAATAAAATCACCAGCCCTGCTGAAGGGAATGAAGTTTTTACGTATTCTCCTCTTATTCATTTAAGAAATATTTGTTAGCCAGGCGTGGTGGCTCACGCCTGTAATCCTAGCACTCTGGGAGGCTGAGGCGGGCAGATTGCTCAAGGTCAGGAGTTCGAAACCAGCCTGAGCAAGAGTGAGACCCTGTCTCTACTATAAATAGAAAGAAATTAATTGGTCAACTAATATATAGAGAAAAAATTAGCCGGGCATGGTGGTGCATGCCTGTAGTCCCAGCTACTCGGGAGGCTGAGGCAGAAGGATCGCTTGAGCCCAGGAGTTTGAGGTTGCTGTAAGCTCAGCTGACGCCACAGCACTCACTCTAGCCTAGGCAAGAAAAGTGAGACTCTGTCTCAAGAAAAAAAGAAAAGAAAAAGAAATATTTGTTGCCTGTGTGCTCTAGGTCAAACATTTGCTAGGGGTTGCAGATACAATGGTAAGCAAGACTCAGTGACTTCTTCAAGGATACCAAAGTTTAATGGAGGAGGCAAAAAACAGGAATAAAGTGCTTTTATTGGGATAAACCAAGGAAAACCAAAAGAAACACCTGATCCAGTCTTGTGAGCCAGGAAAGCTTTCCAAGAACAAGTGGGCCAGGAAAGCTTTCCAAGAGCAAGTAGGTTGGAGACCTGAAGGATGAGTAGGACTTGGCCAGTAGAGTGGAAAGAAAGAGACGCAGCCTAGAGTGTTGCAAGTGCAGGGAAAGTGGAGAGAACTGGAGCTGGGGAGAGCCCCAGAGGCCAGATCATGGATGGCATCCTTAGAAGTCACACCAAAGGAGTTTAACTGTTTACTGCTGGCATGAAAGGGCTTTACTCAGAAGAGTAGCATGAAGGTACTTGCCTTTCAGAAAGATTGTTCTAGCTGCAGAAAGGGAGAATAGACTGAAGGGGGTCAAAATACAAAACAGTCCTCATTAGTATGGTGGTGAGTAAAATAAATTTAAAAGAAAAACTAATTTAATAAAGATAAAAAAAAATAGAAAACAGGAGACTCAATAGGAGGTCATTTTAATAAACAAGTAATGGCCTGAATTATTGCTAATATTTTGAGCACCATAGCCTCATGTAATCTTTGCAACTCTATGAGGTAGACATAATTACTCCCATTTGCAGGTGGGGAATCCAAGGAACAGCACAACTAAGCAGTTGCTCCAAGTCATGTGGTAAGTGGTGGCAGTAGAGAAAGAGAAGTCGACTGATTTGAGCAATATTTAGGAGCTGGTATGGACATGACTGGATGACTAATTATACAATTAATATTCATGACCGATTTGAGGAGTGTGACATCCCTGACCCTGCCCTCAGGAAGCCTCCATACATTTCCCTGCAAGGACTAGTACACACCTTGGCGATGGCCTTCCTCAAGAGAAATGACAACCAAGCTTAAGTGACCGTGCAGTGGCATGAAGACCACTGACCAGTGGACTACAATTACATATGAGTTAAGTATGATGTGCAAAGTTTCTAGCTTGGGTGACTGGGCCATGACTGAGTTAGGAAGTACAGGAGAAGCAGGTGGGGAGTGGGGAAAGAACGTGGCAAGTCAAGTTTGAGGTTTGCTTTCAAGGTGCCTGGGTAATTTCCAAGTGGAGCTGTCCAGAAAGCAGCTGCAGCGGCTGGTGTGAAACTCCAAGTGAGATTTTGGTGTCAGGCTCAACCTCTCCCAGAAGGAACAATAAAACAAAACCACCTTTGGAGAAGCTGAAGATGATACAAACCTTGAAAATGAAGATACAAACCTTGAAAATGAAGCATTTAGAAAAACAGATAATGCAATGGGATTTCCCACAAAACCATTTTAGGTCATTACAGGGTAATTTTCTCCCATTAGTTCTATTCCTCAGTTGTTTTTCACTGAATATTTTAACAGTAAAGCTTGAAGTCGCCCATAAATAAGCAAGGCCCAAGTCTGCTACTCTAACCTAAGAAGTAGGTATCTAACAACTGCTTCCAAAGAGTCCATTTCTCAGGGGCATGGGAACTCCTTTGAGAACAACACTAACTTGTGAAACCCTAGGGAACCATTTAACAAATTATCACTTCAGTGCACTCAGTGGTTTCCTAATGGCCTGGAAATACGGCTCTAACCTACCTCTAGTCTCCTACAGAACAGTTCCCACAGAAGGAAATTTGCTCAATAATAGTAACAATGGGAAAAGATTAACATATCAAATACCCTTAACGGGGAGGCTTTGGAGCTATACTCCTCCAGGTTAATTAGCATTTTCCTTAATTTCGGTTTGGAGTGATGAAAAATGTTGAACATGGAGTAAGGAGAAATAGTTTTTTAATGTTTTGATAAAATTGCTTTTCTTTGCAAGTCTTGGCAATAGGGTTAAAATTTTTCTTTCATATTTGGATTTTTCTCCAATATAAAGCACTTCCATCCCTACCTTTGCCTGGCCCTTCGTATTAAATACGATTTCATAAGAGAAAAAGACTTGTAAGTAACTTGAAAATTATGGTCACACCCTGGTAATACATAATCACTGCCTTAGGTAGACTGTGCAACTATATTACAAATAGAGCCTTTGACTGTTTCTAAGAGGTATCTTTGTTCTGGGAACCCAATCCAAGTTTAGTAGAAATAGTTTTATTCTTAATTGATATGCCAGGATATCTCTTAAAGCAACAGGCTTTCTCTCATTTTTCCTTTTGGATGTGTTTGGGGTTTTTTCCTTCTCCAAAGCTAATAAGTCATATCCAGAGGGCTCAAGACACCATACTCCCCAACTTCTCCAAGAACATCTGTATAAAATATCTGTACATCTGTACAAAATGCATCAGTGTAAAGACAACCATGCTTAATTTTAATGAATTGAATGAAAAGCCATTCTATGAATCATTGGTGGATTACTAAAATAATTCTCAGGATTTTTTTGATTTTAAAAATTATACTTTTAATTATAGAATAGTGTTAGAATAATACAGATGTAGATAAACACTAGGATAACTGTGACCAATACCATATGTTCTATGTGTTTACTTGTTCATTCACTCTCCACAACCATAGAAAACAGGCACAAAGTCTTCACAGCATGTGCAGAAGCAGCCAGCGACTTGGGAGCAGAAGGCATGCAAAAATCATTACTGAAAAGAGTCTGATATATAACCTCTAGACAAAGTTCAACACAGCAAATGGGTGGCAATTGTCAGAAAGAGAGGAGACAGAGCTGGTGTGGCCTTGGCTCTTTGAACTTCCCAGCTGCACTGTACATGTATAGAGAGATGGCTGGGCACTTAGAACCCTTCACTTCTAGGAAGCCAAAAGCAGCAGCAGGAGCACAGTGGGATGGGACAAGAAGAATAGGGCAAGAAAACAGGGTGAAATGCAATTAGGTCATGAAGATGCTATCTTCTCTGGCCACTCCCAAGCTGATATCCATAGTGGCTCACAGAAGCAACAGGAGAACTTTCATATTTATTAAAACCATCAGCAACACTGATACAGGTAAAGACATATTCAAATTTAGTTACTATGAACATATGTATCACCCAACAATTAAAATGTGAATACCCACAGTCTGCTAGATTTTGTGTAGAACGAAAAACATGCTCCCTGTCCAAGTTTGTACTTAAATAGGAGTGGCAACATAAAGAAACTCCCTTGGTGAAGTGGTTTTTCATTTTGTTACTTACGAGGTTGGGTCATTTGCAGGTGATGCAGTCCCATACAACTGTGGGTCACACACAGTAACTCATCAGAGTACACTACCCAAGAGAGACCACTGGCTCCTTTAATACCAAGTCCCAAAGAGCTATGGTAAAAAGCATTTTTTAAATGTTACAACATTCACAATAAAGCACAGTAGAAATAAACTGGGGCACGCTCAAAAGAAAAAAACAGTCCTTACTCCAGTCCCATCTCCAGGGCACCAATTCCCTCCACCCCCACGTGCTTGGATAAGCATCAACATTTGGGATATTTCTTAATTCTTACTCTGGTTGAGATAAGGAGAACTGACACTACTGGGCTTAAATTGGGTCAGCTCTTATTTTTAACCACTTGTATCTGTAGGCTGGGAGAATGGAAATACATTCCTACCTAGATTTATTAATTCTTTCTGAGTAGGCTGAAGAGTTCTTCGTTGCCATAGAAGATAATTCAGTCTGAGAACAGGACAATCTATTTGTCCAGTCATTATCTCCCACAATTGATGAACACATACAAACGAGTGTTTAGTTCTGTACAAAGACAGACCTTACAGGAGAGCACACACTAGAGCACTAGTGTTTACATTTTTTTCCATAAAGAATAAAGAAGGACATTTCTCATATTAGAGTTATATCTGTAATTCTGTCACATGATCTGTATCACCCAAGAACATGCTAATTCTATGTGAATTCAGTTTCTGCTATTAGAAAAACCACAGGAATACACATTTCACTGTACATACACATGCCCTGATGCAAGCTAAGATAAACACTGGGATGTGGCCCTTATTAAATCCTAGATTTAGCAGGATAGGATGAATTGATCTTAAAGATTAGAGGGGAAAGACAGAAATGACCTACGTTCCTTGGGAAGAGACTCTGTGCTTCCTTTCCTGAAGGAGTCAGGTTGCTCCTTATACTCCACCATCACTTATGGTCCTATCTTTCCTTGAAGATATTTTCCCTACAATGTTCCCTATAGAGATCCCCAAAGAAAATTCATAAATCTGATTAATGGCAATAATAACAGTGGGCATCTTTTGCTAAAGTCATCATCATTGATGGGTCCTTGGTCCCAAACCTGTGTCTCATTTTTCCTTTCAAACCATATCTTCAGTTAGCTTTCACAAAGATGCAAGCTTTAAACAAGTTAATTGGAAACAATGAGAAGGAGAAAAGTTATAATCATTGCCTTCATTGTGCAGATTTCTGCTCTCAGGAAGATGAAAAGATACAAATGCATAAGCAACTCAAGGAAAAAGCCCTTTGGAGGGGAAGATGTGTGCCCAACTACTATGGTGTGTGAACAGGCGTGGCAATTCAAGCCAAGTCTCTAGTTGCCTTTTTCCAAAGTAGCAATGACCACCCTATTATGGTCCCAGGTTTTCCCTAGCACAGTTCTTTGGGCCAAGGATGGGAGAAATAACTTTTAAAATTTACTCCATTTCCAGGCCTGGGAATTCACCAGCATTTGTCCCCTGGTCTTCAGATTTCCCTGTAGGGCTGCTTTTGGTGAAGTAATCCATTCAGTGAATAAAAATCACTATCTTGGAGGAGCAGATGATATCCCTAAAGCTGTGGGTCAGAATTTCAAATGGCTTGTCTTCTTTGATGTTTTAAATTGTGGCCCACAACTAGGAAAGTGAGTATGATAAAAGCAGCTCACTCTGGAGGGAGCTCATCGATATCAAATAAATTTAAATCTTCAAATGAATCACTTCTCGGTCATTATTATTACAGGACTTAGTCGGTATGAACTCTCTTATGTTTAATAAGAGCTGAGCTCCGGCTAAAACTCTTCTCACATTCGGTACATTCATAAGGCTTCTCTCCTGTGTGAACTCTTTGATGTGTGATGAGGTTGGAGCTCTGGGTGAAACCTTTTCCACACTGTACACACTCATAGGGCTTCTCTCCTGTGTGGGTTCTCTGGTGTTTAATTAGATCTGACCTTTCACCAAAGCTTCGCCAACACTCATTACACTCATAAGGCTTCTCTCCAGTGTGAATTTTCTGGTGTGTGATGAGATGAGAGCTCCGGCTGAAGCTTTTCCCACAAGCGTTGCATTCATATGGCTTCTCTCCAGTGTGGGTTCTCTGGTGCTGAACCAGGTGTGAGATGCGGCTGAAATTCTCCCCACATTCGTTACAGTGGTATGGCTTTTCTCCTGTGTGGGCTCTGCGATGGCGCACAAGGTCAGAGTTCTGACTGAAATTCTTCCCGCACTCATCACACTTGTAGGGCCTCTCCCCTGTGTGGACTCGATAGTGTTTGATGAGATCAGATCTCTCACTGAAGCCTCGGCCACATTCATTACACTCGTAAGGCTTCTCGCCTGTGTGGGTCCTCTGGTGCTGAGCTAGGTGAGAGCTCCGGCTGAAGCTTTTCCCACACTCCTCACACTCATAGGGTTTCTCCCCACTGTGGGTCCTTTGGTGCTGAATTAGGTGAGAGAGTCGGCAAAAACTTTTTCCACACTCATTACATTTGTGAGGCTTCTCTCCAGTATGGATTGTCTGATGCTGAATGAGATGAGAACTTCTTCCAAAACTTTTCCCACACTCATTACAGTCATAGGGCCTCTCTCCAGTGTGTGTTCTTTGATGCTGAATAAGGTGTGAGCTACGACTGAAGCCCTTGCCACATTCATAACACTTATAAGGTCTGTCCCCAGTGTGGGTCTTCTGATGTCGATTAAGGTCTGAGATCTGACTGAAGGCCTTTCCACAATGAGAACATATATGATATCGGATGCCTGTGTGGACTTCTTTGTGGACAAGCAGATCAGTGACTTGCTGGAGAGGATAGCTTACCCACTCTTCTGCTGTTAAATCTCCCCACTGTCTTTCTGACCTATCTCCACTTTCAAAGGCCTCTTCACTTTCAGTATTTTCCTCAGCATTCCCAACAGGTCTTTCAGATGTGGTCCCAAATTCTACATCTTCACTCATCTCTTGCTTTGGATTCACCTCGTTCTCACTCCTGATCTCAAAATCTGTAATAAAAGGTAAAAAATAAGACATGAAATGCACAAAAAATGATCTACGGTGTGCCAGGCATTATACTAAATTCTTTGTTTTTTGTAAAGATACAGGGTCTCACTCTGGCACTATGGCTGGAGTTCAATGGCGTGACGATAGCTCACTGCTGCTTTGAACTCCTGGGCTCGACTGATCCTCCTACCTCAGCCTCCAGAGTAGCTGGGACTATAGGGGTGCACCACACACCTAGCTAGTTTTTGTTTGTTTGTTTGTTTACAGAGACAGGGTCTCACCATATCATCCAATATCACCCAGGCCAGTCTCAAACTCCTGGCCTCAAGTGATCCTCGCACCTAAGCCTCCCCAAATGCTGGTATTACAGGCACAAGCCACCATGCCTGGCCCCTAAATTCTTTACATAATTATTTCATTCATTGTCACAACCATCCTGAGAGCCAGGCATTGTGATAATCTTTATATAATGAATGAGAAATCCAAGACTCAGACAAGTGAAGTGGGTTGCCCAAAGTCATAATAGTAAATGGCAGAGCCAGGATACAAACAGGTCTGTTGATAAAAAAAAAAAAAAAATTCATGCTCTGTATCACTATAGTTATGGTTCTTTAAGAAAAATATATATACTCTATTAAAAAATATTTTATTAAATTTAAAATTTCTATTTTAAAAAAATTAATTACTCTTTTCTCTTTTTTTCCTTCTTTTTCATCACAAGAGGAATTAAAGGCTAAAAGGAAAAAATATATACTCTTGATATTTTGAAAGAAGAAACTGAAACAAAAAATGAGATTCTAAATTAGAACCTGTAAAAGCAAATTAGATATTTTATTTGTGAGTGTATTTTTCTAACTTGTCTAGTCTTCATTATTAGAATTATAAAATATTTACTAAGAACCTACCATGTTAGTATAGAGAAAAATTAATTTTAGCCATCTATGTAATGTCTTAGTTGACAGAAAAAGTGACTGCCCAATGTCACTTGTTACTTTCCAGTGGCCTTTTAATGAAAATAGGGTTGGGAAGGTTGGAGAAGGCAAAAAAGATGTCTGGCTCAGAACATTTTTGGCATTGACTAAGTTTATTTCATATGCAGTCTTCAAAGAAAAATCAAAATATATAACCACTGTCTACAAGAACTTTATACCAGTGCAGGTGTGGTGGCTCACACCTGTAATCCCAGCACTTTGGGAGGGCAAGGTGAGAGGATTGCTTGAGGCCAAGAGTTCAAGACCAGTCTGAACAACATAGCAAGACCCTATCTCTACAAAAAAATAGAAAAATTAGCCATGTGTGGTAGCACACGCCTGTAGTCCCAGCTACTCTGGAGGCTGAGGCAAGAGGATCACTTGAGCCCAGGAGTTTGAGGTTGCAGTAAGGTTGCAGTAAGAGGATCACTTGAGCCCAGGAGTTTGAGGTTGCATTATGATGATGCCACCACACTCTGGCCCTGGCAACACAACCAAGGAAAAGAACTTTATACCAGATACTGCATTTTTCAAATTGGGTTTCTTAATTCTTAGCACATTCTTCAGAAGGGTTAGTAGGTATGTTGGGAGAAAAGGGTCTATGGATAAATTAGTTTATAAATGGTACATGCTATATCTTTTATTTAGAAATCTGCAATGCCTGATAACACATTAAAGGTTCCAAGGAATCTTGAGGTAAAGAAACCTTGTAAACCTGTATGTATGTATTTATGAGACAGGGTCTCATTGTGTCATCTATATCATATAGAAAGTGCTCCTGAAGTCAGTACCTGGCATCCAGTAGTAGTAGGTGGCTCTCATGTTTTTGAGCCTCAGAAGATTGTTCATCCATAAAATGGGGGTGATAATCCCTTCTTAAAAGGCAGTGAAGGTTATTTTGTTTGTTTGTTGTTTTTAAGAGGCCTCAGCCTCTCAAGTAGCTGGGACTACCGGCTTACACTACCACACCTACCTAACTTTTTCTATTTTTTTGTAAAGACAGGATCTTGCGATGTTGCCCGGGCTGGTCTCAAACTCCTGGCCTCAAGTGATCCTCCCAAAGTGCTGGGATTACAGGCATGGGCAACTGCACTCACCCTGTAAACATTATTTAACTCACTTCCAAGCTTTTTTTTTTGTTTTTTGTTTTTTTTTTTCTTTTTTTATTTTTTTAGATACTTTCTATAAGTCTGAATACTTCCAAGCTTATGTGGGCAAGAAACTAGGTTTTTGGTGCTTCTATCCTTCTAACAAGTACTCCTTGGGCTAGACTACAGAAATGTAAATTTACTTTATTTTTTTGAGACAGGGTCTTTCTCTATCACCCTGGCTGAGTAGTGCAGTGGCTTGATCACAGTTCATTGCAGCATCGAATTCTTGGGCTCAAGAGATCCTCCTGTCTCAGACTCCCAGAGTGCTGAAATTACAGGCATGAGCCACTGCATCTGGCTTATATTTTTAAAAGATTCATGTTTTTTGCTTTTGTTGGATTAAGTGGAATATTTGGGTTATAGACTGCAATAGATCTGAGTAGGTAACTTTATTTATGGTTGCTTTTCTAAAGACAGAATTCAAGAAACTTGGGACATCTGAGAAAGTCCAAGTTAAAAAGGAAAGCCCTCAGAGTCATCTTTTGTTCTGGGAAAAGCTATGGGAATAAATATTTCAAAAAAAAAAAGGATTAGTCTGAATGAATAGCAGATGACCTAGTAAACCATACATGCCTGCTAACATCTGTCAAGTCTTAACAGGAGACAAAGTAATTTAAAATACTGTTCAGTTCACAAATATACTGTTTATTCCAGTTATACCCTGACCAAATGATAGCTAAGAGAGAAGACAGGTTTGCAGACCATGAAAGATAATTAGCAATTCTCTCTAATAGATTTTGTGATTCTGGAGCAACAGTTGATACACTTGAAATCTATGATCATGAAACATCTCTAGACAACAACCCACTCAGATAAAGAATGCAAGGCAGAGGGAAAACAAACCCCAAACAGTGGTTTTTGCCCTCCCAATAACCTAGGTCAGAACCCCCTCATTGTCTAGTGTCATAGAGTAAAAGCACCATTTACAGGGGCATTTATATCCTGGCAAGCACCATTATGTCAGACCTGTTTGGTCAGTGATCTGTACAAACAGGCTGGAGAATGGCAAATGACTCAGGGCACAAGAAATCTCAGTGTTTCTCCAATGTTCAGAAACATTTTTTTTCCTTTTAAGACAATATAACCTGGATGTTCCCACATTCAAAGATTTGCCTTAGGACTCAACTCAATCCAATATCCAATTAAGTGCTTTAAAAATCAGACAATTAGGCTGTGTTGAAAGAGCTAAGTCATTTTGACACAGTCTCAAAAAAGTGGGGGCAAAGAAAGGTAGAATCCTTACTTACCTAATGAGACAACATTTCCATAATTCTCCTGCATAACATCCCTGTAAAGATCCCTTTGTGTAGGGTCCAGAGGTCTCCATTCTTCCCGGGTAAGATACATGGCCATATCTTCAAATGTCACAGGCGCCTGAAATCACACAATGCTTCCTCAATACGTGGTATATCTAGGAGGTTACTACCAGTTTTTCTTCTTGAAATTAGAGGCATGGTTAGAAATGTTGAGGAGGCAAAAGATATGAAGTTCGATCTGTAGAGCCCAAAGAAGAAATAAACAAGCAAACAACAGATGTGGTAAAGAAGGGAACAATTTCTAAGCTAATTGCTCTGGTCTCATGGCCAGCTATCCTTGCCCCACTTGGAGGGCCTTATCCTCTAACCACGTTTCTCAGAACACATCTAGCACTTACATCGTTCCATACCTTGATTCACAATGTTCCTCTTTTCCTGGAATATCTTTCTCAGACTAGTGAAATTCCACTATTTTTTTATGGTCCTGCTTCAATACCAACTGTTCTTCAGTGCCCCCCCAACCTTCTGCTCCGTTCCACTCCTCCCTCGGATGCCCCAGATAGACTAAATCACTCCCACTTCTTGGTTCCCACACTACAGCACTTTATTCCTAAGGCAAATAGAGTACGTATCACGTTGTGTCACGGTTAAGCAGATGTGTCTTTTTCCCTACAGATTGTGACAAGGCGGGTAGCGCCAGTCTCGTCCATCTTTTATCTCCTCAGTATTAAAAGGTATACAGCATGTGTTCAATATGTGCTTTCATGTCGCTATACTCGTCTGGTACCAGGCCTCTGGAGACAGAAAACCGAAGCAAGCGAATTACTAACCCCAGGGAATTTCCTACAGGGGTTTGCAGTGAAACGCCAGATGAGGTGGGTAAGCAGAGGCAAGGTCCGAGAAGCCACCCCCGGCTTACCTGGGACCCAGCCATGAGCAGGGTGGCTGCCATCTCGGGCACAAGGGTTCGCCTCCCGGGAGAGAGAGCAGGAAAAGCAGCTAGCAGACAGCACTGAAGGAGGCGAAAAGCAGGGCGTGAGGCACCGAAAACAGGCCCTGCCCACTCCCCAGGGCTGGAGTTCTGGCCGCAAGGCGAGCAGGGAGGGCCCTGGACCGGGGCCGGGTCACTCTCCTCCCTGACCTGCAATCTCGACCCGCCCTCTGTGTTTCCGCCACCACAGGGTGGAGGCAAAGCCGAAAACCACTAGGACAGCCCCCTGGCTGGGTCCCTCCTGGGCCAGGGGTCAGGCAGACGCAGTTTCAGGGAGGAGGCTCTCAGCCCAGCCCACAGAACGCCTCCGCTCTTCCATCTCGAGGCTCGTTCTTTCCGGCAGCTGTCTCAGCCAATCAGCGAGCGAAGCTCGCAAAACACTGCCAATTAGATGCTGAGTACTAGGCCCGCCTCCTGCAGCGTGGCTGGGCACCTCTACCACGCCTGCGCCTGCCCCGGCGGCCTGCCGGGAGTTGGAGTTCTATTCCGGCGTACGTACAAAAGCCAGCCAGCGGCCAAGAGCCAAGGAGGGAAAAGAACAAAAGGGCGAAGAAGGAAGCGCGTCCTCCTTGCCAGGGCGGAGTATCTCTCAGGTTCTCCTCGTGGAGCCCACAGTCCGATTAAGCCAGGGAGGTTGCCCTGCTTCTTACGCCCCTAGAAGCTTCTCTTCAGTCGGACCTTAGTATCTGCAATATCAGGCCTAATTTAGGCGGTGGCCTGTGTTGGGCTCCGCTAGGATTAGCCCTAAGTTGACAGCTCAGGTCGAGGGGAGAGCTGCAGCCGCCCACTCCCCAGGGGCGACTCCGAGGCCGCGCTGGAACTTTGGGCCCCGCCCCCGCACTACATCTCCCAGCAGCGCCCGCGGCGCCGGTCGCCGCGCGCAATCCGGCTCCCGGGTCCGGCGCCGCCCGGCCGGCCAGTGCGGTCTGAGGCTGAGCCCGCGGAGTCTCGGCTCCATCGCTATTAACCCTGTAGGGGCGTATGCCCGCGTCCTTCTAAAGAGGGCGCCCCTTGAGAGGCGGACTGAGTTGCGCCCAGCCGAGGAGAGGCAAAAGCTCTGAGGGAAATGAGAAGTGGGGTGGGGGATAGGGTGTGTACGGAGGAGAAAGCCGGGCCCCACGGCGGGGGCGGGACGTCCTCGTCATCCCCGAGGGCTTGCCTGCCCGAAGGGTTGCTGGCGACCTCCCGCTTGGAAGGGACCCTGGGCCTGTGAGGGCCGGCTCCAGGCGGGCCCTCAGGATGTTAGCAGTCCCTGTCCGGTGAAGGTAGGAAGCCGACAACCCGAGTTAGGGACGGACTGACTTACCTATTGGCCTGCAAAAGATCCGCTAGACCGCCGGCTCCAAGATCTGAGAGGCCTCACACAGATCCCAAAGCCGCAGAGTTCTTTAAGACCTGGCGTTCAGAAAGAGTCTCGAGATTACCGGTAGATCCCGAGGTCTCAGACTCGCAGGTAGATCTTGAATCCGTAGACTTGCAGGCGAAGCCCGGAGATGGTAGTCTGATACTCAAGACTCACAGATTCCTGAGACCTCAGACTCTGAGGCAGCTCAGAGAAACCACAGGCTCATAGGCAGATCCCTGAGACCACAGCGGCTGGCCAAGAAACACCACCAGCGACTAAGCTGCATTCAGCTGGAGTTCCTCGGAACGGAAGGACTTGCAGCCTTCCCTTTCCCCAGCCAGGATGAGGGAATTAGACAATGGAAGTCGAGCGCTAGGGAAAGCAGGCATTCTGCGTGGGGAAGAGCTCCGAGCTTGCTGTAGCCTTGGAGAGGGAAGTGATGGAAAAAGAATATAACAGCTTATTAGGGACTCCCACCCTCTTCAAGTTATAAATATCCCCAGAACCTTGGCTACGTGCCCAGAAGCCTGTTGTCTCTAACTGTACAGGAGACTTCTCTGCCTGGGCTAGGAAAGGGGATTTTCTTTTGTTTTGCAGATACATCCACCCACTGAGAGACTTGAATTTTTTTTTTTTCAAACATGACTCCAGGCCATGCTTTTATTAGTGAGTGTCCTGTTCCCAGTGCCCAGTTATTTATGGTTAAATTACTCAAGTGTCTAAAAAGAACTAGTAGGACCCTGCCGAGCCATAATGTAGACTCTCCCACTCCTACTCCTCTTCCCACCCCCAACTGTGGGGCTAGGAATTCTTTAGATGCCACAGAATTGTACTATCATACCCCATCTAAAATTGATCTGGGCACCACATAAAATGGGATCCTAGAGGGTTCCCAAGAGGCAGTATCCCTAGTGGAAAGAGTATGGACATCAAGGTCAGACAGACTTGGGTTGGAATCCAGGCTCTGTTTCTTTGGAAAGTCACTGCATCTTTCACTGAATCTCTCTCTTTCTGTAAAATGGGGGTAATCATACCTAAAGATGTTTGAGGATTAAGTGAAATGACTTAAAGCCCTCCACACAGAGTGAGCTCTCAGATGATACCTGTTATTATTATTAATCCTGGTTTTGGTGGTGGGGAAACTTCCAGAAAGGCCGTGGATACAACAGCTCAGAAAGTCTGGGAAATTAGGGTGGCTCAATAGCTGTGAGAATCTGCGGGTGACCTTATCCTCACATTGTATTTCTGCTGGAAATTCAGATGGAACTAGAAGCTGGGCCAATTTGGTGGGTTCAAGTGCAGGGTGTGTTGAGCCTAGTAGAGCAGAGGTAGTTGGGGCTGCCAACAGCGCAGCAAGTTGAGGCCTCACTCAGGGAAACCTCTGGGTCAGGGATTAATAACCAAGCTATTTGGAGAAAGGAGGAGGGAGATCAGTTCAGACTCAGGCAGAGTAATTGCAGGTTTCTAACTGGGCCTAAGGTGTGCTGTGGGCTTGAGCTGCTCAGCCCAGCAGGGCTCCCTTTTCATCCTTTCTCTCGAAGATTGCTTTGTAAACTTTCTTAGGCCTACCCCCACCCTGCTTGCTCCAGTGCTTTAAGTCCTTCTTTGTCCTCTTGTTCTTTTATTCCCCAGGCCTGCGGGGAGGGGGTGGGCAGGACGACTCTCCAAGCTCAGTTTGGCTGCTTGCCTCCTTCTGCGAGTAAGTGCTTTTCTCTTTCTTCACCTGGGACCCTCCAGAGGGTGGAGGAGAGGAGAAGCTGAGAGCGGATGGAAAGCTTGACTACATTTGGAGGCCCTGGGGGGCAGTGGGGAGGAGGGGGAGGAAAGACAGTGGCTGAGGGACTTCCTGTTGCAGCCTTCAGCTGGACTCTGAGGGTTAGGGTCACTCTGGGAGGAGGTGGCTTCCTGCCCTGTTGTTCAGGACTTCAGTGTTTCTCAGTAATACTTACTGTGTGTGGGTTTTCAATAACCAACTTGGAAAGCTGTATTTGTTTCCATCACTCAGCAGTGAGCACCTACTATGTGCAGAGGCACAAGTACACTATCACTGGGGAAAGGGCCAGGGGAGTCTGGCCAGGGTCTTGAATTTAGGCTTTTGACAGTATCTCTAAATGAGGTTATACACTATGTTGGATCCACTGGCCGATTTGATCAAAGACCCTCCTGTGTATCCTTAAACTTGTGCTTGATTACCAGACCACTGTGCCTGTGGAGCAGTGTGAATTATTATATTTTAATAAATCCTGTCATTGGTGAGCAGCTCAATTATGTCATAGTGTTTTTAATATCAGAAACATTAAATTTTGTTAAACATTTAAAAATATGCCTTAATGTTTGTAATCTTGTCATGTTTGTAATGCCTTAATGTTTGTAATTTTGTCATCTCTTCATTTTCAAATAGACAGGGATCCTCAAACAATCAAAGTGGGCCCAGTGTGGTGTCTCACGCCTGTAATCCTAGCACTCTGGGAGGCTAAGGTGGGATGATCACTTGAGGTCAGGGGTTTGAGGCCAGCCTGAGCAATGTAGCAAGACCCTATCTCTACAAAAAATAGAAAAATCAGCTGAGTGTGGTGGCCTGTGCCTGTAGTCCTAGCTATTTGGGAGGATCACTTGAGCCCAGGAGTTTGAGGTTGCAGTGAGCATGGTGACTCCATTGCATTCTAGCCTGGGCAACAGAGCAAGACCGTGTCTCAAAAAAAAAAAAAAAAAAAGGAAGCCCAGGTCACTTGGATTTTTGTTTTGTTTTGTTTGTTTTTTGAGACAGGGTCTTGCTCTGTTGCCCAGGATAGAGTGCAGTGGCATCAGCCTACCTCACTGAAACCTCAAACTCCTGGGCTCAAGTGATCCTTCTGCTTCAGCCTTCCAAGTAGCTGGGACTACAGGCACGCGCCACCATGCCCAGCTAATTTTTTCTATATATTTTTAGTGGTCCAGCTAATTTCTTTCTATTTTTAGTAGAGACGGCATCTTGTTCTTCCTCAGGCTGCTCTCTCCTGACCTCAAGTGATCCTCCTGCCTTGGCCTTCCAGAGTGCTAGGTGTGGGCTACCGCCCCTGGAGGGCCTGGGCTTCTCTTGACCCCCTGCTAGGAGGGGTCATCACTACACAAGGAATTGGGGACATGAGTGACACACTGACTTACAAATGTGCAGTCCAAATGCTATAGTGAGGGGTGAACTAATCTGCATCCAGGAGGAGAACTGCTAGCTGGGGAGGCGGGGAGGAGGCTTCACAGAGGAGGTAATATCTGAGCTGGCTTGCAAACACTGTAGGAATCTTGGAGGTAGAGAAGGTAGGAGGGAAAGCATTCCAGTCTTCAGCATGTGCAAAGGCATGGAGGCGTGAAAGGACAGAGTGAGTTCCAGAATGGCCAGGATTGGTTATGGCTAGAGGGAAGAGTGTGGGGGTGGAGTGGCAGGGGGAGGAAGCAGAGCAGGGACACTCTCATGTCCCCTTGCCTGCCTGCCCATTTGTCTCCGCCTTTGGCTGCTGATCTGCAAAGCTGGTGGAGGTGCAGGTGGGGGCTGGCCCGGGGTGAGAAGAGCAGATTGACTCTGCAGGAGGAATGCAGAGTGGAGAGGACTGAGAGGCCCTTTATGACCTCATGCATTTCAGTTGGTTTTCTCCAGAAAGAATCAATATTTTCCAAAAATGTAGACAATTGCATTAAAAATGTACAACAAACTTATTTAGTATTTTTGCCTACTTAAAGATACCAAATAGACCCATATTCACTGAACCCTAGTCTGTACCTGACCTGGGCTGGGAAATAGACCACCACCCCTCACAGCAGGGCTGCTGTGAGGATTAAATTCGAGAATGGCACAGAAGAGGGTCTTGGCACATGGTGGCCATCATTATTATACGTGGAGGTAGAACACATCACAGATGCTCTGTGAAATGAAGCCGTATTTCAGAGTGGCTCAGAACATGACCAAGGACTTGGGTTCAAATCCAGGTGCTGTCTCCTAGAAGGGAATTACTCTTGGAACTTTGGTTTTCTACATCTGTAAAACTATAGCAATGCACAGTTATAGAGACAGAAAATAGAATAGTGGTTGCCACAGCCTGGGGGAGGGAGAAATGAGCAATTATTTAATGAATATAAAGGTCCAGTTTGCAAAATAAAAAGAGCTGTGGGGATTAGTTGCACAACAATGTGAATGTACTTAACCCTACTGAACTGTGCACTTTAAAATGGCTAATGTTATGTGTATTTTACTACGATTTTTAAAAAAGTATAATAATGGTAACCTAGTTCATGGGGTCAGAGGGTTAGTTGAGACGGTCAATGTAAAGTGCTGCCCTACACTCAGTAATAACAATTGCCAACATTTACTAAGCAGCCACAATGTGCCAGGCATGATTCTCAGTGCTGTGCTTGTATTAACTAAATGAATCCTCACAACCACCCTTTGTGCTAGGAGCTATTATTACCACTATTTTACAGAGAAAAATGGAAGCATGGAGAAGTTATATAATGTGCCCAAGATGCCCAGCTAGTAAATGCTCAATGATTAATAGATATTACTGTTACAGTCACACAAAGAAATATATATATTTTTCTAAATTATATTATTATTATTAATATTATTATTATTGAGACAGAGTCTCACTCTGTTGTCCGGGCTAGAGTGCTGTGGGGTCAGCCTAACTCACAGCAACCTCAAACTCCTGGGCTCAAGTGATCCTCCTGCCTCAGCCTCCCGAGTAGCTGGGACTATAGGCATGCACCACTATGCCCGAGTAATTTTTTCTATATATTTTTAAGTGTGCCAATTAATTTCTTTCTAGTAGAGACGGGGTCTCGCTCTTGCTCAGGTTGGTTTTGACCCCCTGACCTTGAGTGATCCGCCTGCCTTGGCCCCCCAGAGTACTAGGATCACAGGCGTGAGCCACCTCACCCGGCCTGTTATTATTTTTTGATTTCCCCAAAATTCGTATGTTGAAACATACAAAGAAATATTAATAGTATCATCCTCATCGTGGTAGACTGCAATGTGCACTGGGACAGTTTCACACTGCCATGGGAGTTCTGAGGAACTATCTGATGTTGCCAGGGGACCAGAGACTTTACAGAAGATGGGCATCTGAGGTGATGCCTTGAAGTATGGGTAAGATTTGGACCAGGTTTCTTTGGGCCAAGAAAGCAAAATAGGCAGTCACAGTGGGATGGTACACTGGGTATTCAAACACAGGGCAAATCTCTTCCTGAGGCTGGAGCACAAGATGAGCCACTAAAGCCAAGTCTGGCAGAGCTCAAGAGTCCAGTGAAGCACAGAAATAAAAGCCTTCAGGCCCATCAAAAAAAAATAAAAAAAGACAGAAGGCAGATGGAGCTTTCAAAGTCAAACCAAGGAACTGAATTTTATTTGATAGCTGGAGGAACCTGCTCTAGGTGAGTGGGAGAATGATGCTCAGAGCCAGCAGGGTAGATGAGGGAAGGAGGGAAAGAGTGCTTTGACTTGGGAGAACAGTAGAAAGCCCTTGTGCCAGTCTTAGGAAAAAGAAAACCTGAAAGGCCATGTTGACGGTGATGGCAATGGAAAGACGAGTCGGCCAAGGTAGGGTCTGTACAACTGGCAACCGACAGAGAGGGCTAGGGAACAGGGTCACAGATGGTTCTAAAGAATGAACTAGTTGACAGAAATAGAAAAGACAGAAGAGGTGATTTAAAGAAAAGATGTGAGGTCAGTTTCAGATTGTGTGGAGAGGACTGGTGGGGTACTTGGGAGGAGTATCCAAATAATCACTTCGTAACATAAGTCTTGACATAAAGAAAAATTGGAGCTAATGACAGAGATTTGACAGTCTGGGTGAGATTACTGAGAAAGACTTATTCTCTTTAGCAGCGGTCCCCAACCTTTTTGGCATCAGGGACCAGTTTAATGGAAGATAATTTTTCCCAGGACTGGGAAATGGGGTAGGGGGGTGGTTTCAGGATGATTCAAGCGTATTACATTTATTGTGCAGTCAAACCTCTCTGCTAATGATAATCTGTATTTGCAGCTGCTCCCCAGGGCCAGTATCACTGCCTCAGCTCCACGTCAGATCTTTAGGCAATAGATTCTCATAAGAAGCACACAACGTAGATCATTCGCATGCACTCCTGTGAGAATCTAATGCCACTGTAGGTCTGACAGGAGGCGGAGCTCAGGCAGTGATGTGAGTGATGAGGAGCAGCTGTAAATACAGATGAAGCTTTGCTCACTTACCTGCAGCTCACCTCCTGCTGTGCGGCCAGGTTCCTCACAGGCCACAGATTGGTACTGCTCTGCGGCCTGGGGTTTGCGGACCACAGCTCCATAGTATTTTAGGTTCCAGGAACCTTTTGAAAACATCTTGTAAATTAATTGCTCATCAGATTTCGAATGCACTTTTGAAATTTTCAAGGTCTTTGGCCATAACATTCCAATGAGACCTTCTCTCCTTCATCCTGAGCATGTTGCCTGTCTGTTTCACGTCACCTAACATCGTCTTTTTCTTCCTGTAAGGTAACCATGTCCCCTCCCCTAGGAAGCTTTCCTGGGCGGCAGAAGGTAATGCTAGTGTACTTGTAGCTCACACCCTCTTCATCTTTGGTATGAAGGAGGAGATGGGGTTAGGCCATGTGTTCTAGCCAACAGCATGTGGAGATACTCTGTGACAAGGAGCACAGCATGCCAGGAAGGACTCAGAGAAGGCCAGTGTGGCTGCAACACAAAGTGTGGGTGCGAGGAAGAAGCCTTGCCAAGAGAAGTGGGGAGAAATGGAAGGTTTTAATGGGGGATGGTAGAGTCGGGGGCTCTGACATGATCAGAGTTGCAATTTTGAAAAGCCCATGCCGGTCTGTCTCGTGGACAGCGTGAATTGGAGTGGATCCAGTATGGACACAGGAAGGCTCGTGGGCAGGATATGGCCACCTGCTGATGAACAGTCTGTAGCCTGTTCATGTTCTTCTGTGTCCTTTTGTGAATACAGATGTATACTGTATAGATGTGTAGACTTGAGCTGACTTGTTCTCTTGCTGTTTAATCTGACTCATCTCCTTTGTAAACAGTAAGGTTATTGAGGGTGGAGATCCAGTTTTG